ATAATAATAATAATAAAAATAATAATAATAACAATAATAATAATAAAATAATAATAATAATAATAATTTAAAATATATATATATTTAAAATATAATACACAAAAATTTAATAATTTAATAATTTAAAATATAATAATTTAAAATACAGAGTTTCTTTTAAAACACTTTTATATTTTTCACAATCCACTATATATATTATCATTAATTTTCATAAACATTTTCATATATTTTTATGCATTTTAATTTTTCAGTTCAGTTCTAATCAGTTCAGTTCAGTTCAGTTCAACTCAGTTCAGTAAATATGAACAGGCCCTAAGTTTAGTTCTTAACTAGATTAATTCCATGCGTTGCACGGTTTAAATAGATTTTATTTGTTTAAAATAGTTGTCAATATTCTTTATTCGATATAGTGTAATCATTATCTTATTTATTAATTTTGAAAGACATATTGTAATTATTTAGTTTTAGAACTTGGGAGAAAAAAATAGAGAAAAAAATGACGATGTCAAAAATAGATTTGGCGGGAAAAAATTTCATAAGAAATTGACAAGTGTCCTCTAATGATGTCAGTATGTTTTGTTTTAGTAACAGTTAATAGATTTCCTTCTCTCATAAAATATTTTGTTCGATTCAGCTCTGATAAGTTCAATTCTATTCAGCTCAATTCAGTCAATCAGAAAAAGCCCTTAGGGCCGGGCTAGCTATGAGCATAACAAGATACCCCGTTAAAATTCCTAAAATCGAAACTTGTTGAACAAGTTTTTAGAAATTGGGAACCAGAACCAATGTAACCATGTAGGTTCCGGTTTCGGTTCCGATTCAGGGTACCCTAACTTGTAATATACTTACTAATTTTTTGCAAATCTTTTTGACAAAAAAATTGGTTGACCACTAATTTATAATGTTTACAACTCGCAAATAAAACAAACTAATAGTAGTTGTCTAACAAATTTAATACATATTTATAATTGTAATTTTGATGTTTGTTGGAATTGGTGTATAATTTGAAATTTAGTGATACTTTTATCAGGTTACAGGGTACCCTACATATTCCGGTTCCAAAAAATTGAGAATTGGAACATGTTGCATTAGGTTCTTCATTTTGCTACCTGAAACCGAAACCAAAACCAAAATCTTCTTGTACAGGTTTAGGTTCAGATTCAGAGTACTCTGATTTTTTGCTCACCCCTAGTCCGGGCACGTCAGTTATATTGGGTTGTATTCATTGTGGGTACATCGACGGTTGTTTTATTTTGTATGAAACATATACTCCCTCCTTTTTTTAAATACTTGTCATTTCTATTTTTTGCACTATTCATTTGTGCTACTTTGACTAAAGTTTGTGATATATAAGTAAGAAAAAATATAGTCTTGTGGGTATTTGTTTCACTCATCTCAATGAATAGATTATTAATTTTCAATTGTTAGAATTTATACTTATTGATAATTAAAGATATTATTGACCAAAAATTAGCATCAGCATACGTACCCACAAAAGATAGATCAAGCATTTAAAAACGAAGGGAGTAATAACTAGTACTTCCTCCGTTTTTATTTTATTGCACCATTAAGACTTTTACACTATTCACTTAATCTTCTATGACCATCATTTGTGATTTATCCATTAGAAAAAATATAGTCATGTGGGATCTAGTTAGATTCGTCTTGAAATCTTCTTTTCAAATATCAAATGTTTATAATTTTTACAAAAGTATAATTAAAGATATTAACAGCTAAAATAATGCATTGTCAAGCGTGAAATCCCTCATGGTGCAATAAAAAAAGAATGGAGGAAGTACAATATATTCATAGGGTGTCAATTTGAGTAACCATATGAAGTTTGGGTTGACAACGACAAATCTAGTCTGTTTAATTCGGGTATGCATGTTTGGTTAAGATTACTCTTTTAACCTATCTATCTCGGTTTGAGTTGGGTAATTTTAGGTCAAGATCTATTGCGTTAGTGTCGTTTGGATTAGGACAACTTTATATACGGTTTGAATAAATTCATATTGGGTCCAAAACGGATTTGATTGGGTTAATTATGAGTAGGAAGACCTTGGGTTAGGTTGATTTTGATTTGGCTAATTTCAGTTCGATTAAGTCCAATTTAGTTTTAGATCAATTCTAATTTAAATCCTTTTCAGGTTTGGATAAATTGGTCAACTTGGATGAATTTGGGTCAAGTTGACCAAATTCAATATTCAGAAAAGGTCATTTTAAAACCAGAGTAATAATTGAGTTTTTAACTTATTTTTGTCACTATCAGATCATTCATAAGTCATTTTTCATATCGTAACGCTTGTTAGTTTTCTCATTAGATTAGTTCTTGTATCAGTTTTATCTTTTGTTTAATATAGATAGTAATCTATCAATATGTCATTAGGTTCAAAACTTATCGTCTCACTTATATTGCTATATTAAGTTAACGACAATTTAATTTTAATTATATGGGTTATATAAAGATAAATACAAGAAAATTTTAATTTTATTATACTACCATACAAAAACAAGTTTGGTAAAAATTGCTACCACTTAACGGAATCCGTTAAGGTTCCATTAAGTTTATTCAAAAAATTAAAAAAAAAAATAATTTTTTTAAATAAAGAAAAACCCAGCCACCATCCCACCACCTTCAACAGTCAGCCCCCTCCCGGTAGCCACCCTCCCCTTTCCCCCCTGCAGGTGAACGGTGCCCAAAGCGTCGATCGGCGGCCGATGACTCCACTCCCCCTCTTCCACCTACACAGCCCACCCCTCCCTTACCCCTTCTCGTTGCCCCAACCCCCACCCCGAAACCGAAAAACAACCCCCTCCCCATCTCCCCACCAGAATCGGCCCCCCTCCCCTTCCCCCACCCTAGATCGATCCCCCCCTTCCCCCACCCAAAATCACCACCCTTAACCCTTAAACACCCGCCCGAAACCACCCTAAACGGGATTTAGGTTTCGTTTATGGTGGTTTTGGGCTGGTGTTTATGGGTTAGGGATGGCTGTTTTGGGTGAGGGAAGGGGAAGGGGGCCGATTCCGGTGGGGGGTAGGGAGGGGTTTGTTTTCTGGTTTCGAGCTGGGGGTTTGGGAAGCGAGAAGGGGATAAGGAGGGTGGGCTGTCGCCGGCGCCAACAGGGGGCCGGGGTTCCTGGGCAGCGATGGTGGCTGGGTGTTTTTTTTCTAAAAAAAAAGAATTCATGGTGGGTTGAAGGTGACTGACGGGGAGGCAGTTAGGGGTGTTCGCAGAGGGAGGGGTGGCAGTGAGGGTTGTTGATCTCACTAACGGAAATTGTAACTGAAAGTGTTAAGTGGTAGCAAAATTAAAATTATGTGATTTTGTGTGGTAGCAAAATAAAATAAAACGTTTAATGAGTAGCAAAAGTGAAGTAGGGGTGTTTGAGTGGTAGCAAAAGTGAAATTAACCTATAATTTTTGCATTGGAAATATATAACATTTTTTTTTTCTAATGAGTGTGCACTTGTTATACTCATTTTTACTCTACAGAATAAAAGAAAAGAGGAAAAATATAAGCAAAGTCAAGGATTGATCGTAGAATTTGAGATACAAAAGATGTAATTTGAATCGTAAATTTGTAATCCAAAAGGTTAAAATAGTTTTCACCGGATACTCTAGAAAATGCTTGAATTCTGAAATGCAATTGAAAATCAATTGAAAACTACCTTAATAGATGATATTTGACCTAAAATTTAAGTCAACATTGCTTACTCCCTTCGTTTCATAATGTTTGACACAATTTCTATTTTTATCCGTCCCATAAAACTTGACATGTTACTATGGAATGGGACCACTAATAAAAAAATATTTTTCCACATTTTCTCTCTCATCACCTATCCCACTCCCACCTCACTTGTTGTTTTCTTATAATACAGATTATAAAAATACAAAAGAAAATCTTTTATATAATAAATAAATATTTTAAATAGATCCACTTGTAATTTTCTTATACTACGTGTCCACCCCGACGTCCCAAGCATTGTGGGACGGAGTGAGTACTCAAGTACTATGGATGCCCAAATCAGCAAATCCTTTTGTTAGGGTGTTTGGTTAATGGTTTATTTTTCCTTCTATTTTAATTTTATTTGTCTTTTATATTACATGCATTTTACAAATTGCTTGACTAAAGATTTACACTAGAAATTGCTTGGGTAATAACTAAGATTTACAGTACATAATAGGGTTAAAACAAAAAACATACGGAGTATCAAAGTTTTTGGTTTTTTGAAACCTTTTGGGATTTGCACAAATTGATGTTGTGGTGCCCAAAATGTGTTAAAGGATAGACGTATAAAATAAATCAAGCTATATGCTTGGTATGATACTAATATCTAAGCTGCATACATCGTACGTTACAGGATTTAGTGCCAAGCAAACTTAACCATCATCACATCGTGATGAGCGCGCCCCAGTTAACATTCCATATTGACAAAGTTGTCAATATTGATGGCAATTTCGCAATTTTGAAGCATCTTCAATTATTTTAATATTTTTATGTGTTGTAGCTGACATGGCAGTTAACTTAACGTTAGAACAAGGTTAACGGTAAGTCTGAACACCCCGTTTTCTAGAAATCACATGCTCTTTCCCACCCCGTTGAATTTGAGAACACGATCCTCATTTGCTCCTAGAAATCAATTTGGTCCTGCGATCCTCATTTGCAACACTTTAAAATTTGGCGGAGTTTGAGACAGTGAGTTACGCAATTCATGTTTTGACTTTGGAGCCCTCAACCCAGATGATGTGAGCTAACCTTACGAAACCCTAGCCTGACCTCTTACAAACAACACTGAATTCGCCCAGTGGCGGATCCAGGATTTTCAATTCGGGGGGACAAAATGCTTAACTTACAAAAAGCTTAACAAAAAATAAAAACAAAAAAAAACTCAAACACACAAATTGGTTAATACTTAATATTAAAATTTCAAAATAAAAAACATACTTAGTCATACAATTCAAATGATGAAAAAAATTACATAAACATTACATTAAAATTACACTTTCATCCTTCGAGTCTTCATATTTTGGAAGCGATCAACAATTTTTTCATCGGAAACTCTTAGGAAGACATCCTTCTCAATAAAAGTGACCAAACAATCATTCATAAGTTGATCACCCATGCTATTTCGCAACTTATTTTTGACACATGTCATTGCGGAAAAGACTCTTTCAACACTTGCCGTGGCAACCGGAAGAATCAACATCAACTTGATAAGCAAATGAATAAGAGGAAAAGTCTTATGCTTATTAGTTTTAACAAGCATCATAGAAAGAGAGTTAAGGTCATTTAAACCTTGAAATCTATCATCATTTAGCATATTCTCCATGAATATATCAAGTTGACATTCAAGAGCCATCAAATCAAAGCTTGAAAATTCTTCGGGATAAAAAGAGGCAAGTTTAAGTACCTTATCTTTATCAAAGGATGAGAAGTTATCTTTAGGACTTAAACAAGCCATACATATTAGTATCTCCATATTCCTCTCATTAAATCGATCATCAAGTTCTTGAAGATGCAAATCAATCACTCTTACAAAAATTCCAACCCGAAAATGATGTTCATTTGTTGCTTCTTCAACAAAACGTCTTGATCTTCCTTGAGGAACATAAGGAGAATCCATAGTGGGAACAACAATACCATGTTTAGCACAAAATGAAGTTACCTTGTTTAAGAGAGTATCCCATCCTTGCTCCCTCATTTTTTGCAACACCAATTTTGTGTAAGTGACAAGTTCCATGGCATTTACAATATCTTGCTCCTTTCTTTGCAAAGCAACACACAAATCATTAGTGTAACCAAAAATAGTCAACATCAAGTGAGCAATAAAAACAAAGTCAAATGACTCTAATTGTCCTAAAACAATTTGAGCTTTGAACTTATCTTCCGATACACCATGCTTCCCAATGTGTACAAGTACCTTAACAATTGTAGGAAATAAGAGGATGATGTTTGAAATAGACTTGTAATGAGAACTCCAACGAGTATCCCCGGGCCTTTTCAAACCAAGTTCTTGATTTAAACCCGATCCACTCACAATATCCCCTACATCCAATGCTCGAGCAACTTCTTGAGCTTGATCTTGTCGAATCATTTCTCTTCTCTTGCAAGAAACTCCAACCACATTCAATAAATTTGCAAGTATCTCAAAAAGCCAACCACAACTATCATTCTTTTTAGCAACGGCAACTAGTGTTAGTTGAAGTTGATGAGCAAAACAATGTACGTAGTAGGCACTTGGAGTATCATTCATAATCAAAGTCTTAAGACCATTTATTTCACCTTTCATGTTGCTAGCTCCATCGTACCCTTGCCCCCTTATCATAGATGGACTCAATGAATGTTCAACAAGTAAAGACATGATTGCATCTTTAAGAGTTAAAGCGGTAGTATTACCAACATGAACAATGACTAAAAATCGCTCCATTACCTTTCCACTATCTCTATTAACAAAGCGCAAAACAAGAGCTAGTTGTTCTTTTTGGGACACATCACTTGACTCATCGGCTAATATGGCAAAGTAATCATCACCAACTTCTTCTATTATGCACCTAGTTGTTTCTTTGGCACAACAATTAATAATGTCCTTTTGAATAGAAGGGGAAATCATTTGACAATTTTTAGGTGCATTTTCAAGAGTATGTTGTCTTACTCCCTCAACCTTTTCTCCTAACCATTTCAAAAGCTCAAGGAAATTACCCCTATTTTAGACTCCCCGCTTTCATCATGTCCACGAAATGCCAAACCTTGCCCCAAAAGAAACCTTAAACAAGTTAAAGATGCATTCAAGCGGATAAAATATTCACTTTTAATCACCTCACTTGCATTGTCAAACACATTCAAGATTGATTTTTTTTTTCCATCTCTTAAATTCACATATTTCTCATAAGCAAGATTATGAGCACTGTTAATTCCACCAACATGCTTCTCAAATCTTTCCGGTTTATTCCATGCCCTAAACCCTCCATCAACAAATGCATCACCCCCCGAATAACTATCAACTTCATTCTTGAACAAGTAACATACAAAACAAAATGCAGCATCTTTTTCAATACTATACTCAAGCCAATCCCATTTCTTGAACCAATGAACACTAAAGCGACGTAAACCAGACACTTGTCTTTGAGGAAAGTCATGAGTTTTTGGTTGGAAAGGTTTTTTAAGAATATAACCCCTCCTAACTGCATTTCGTTCATTTGCGGGGTAATCCATTATGTTTATTCTTTTTCCCGGATCATGAGGAAGAAGTTCAACATCGTATACCAAATTTTCCTCCAATGGTACATTACAAGTACTTGAACCACCCATTTCCATATCATCTTCTTGACTTTGAGGGGGGCTTAATGAAGGGGAGTTATTGGACTCATTTTCATGGAGTTTCTTTCTTTTAGACAAGAATTGTCGAAGATCGGGTTGTTTTCTAGTAGCCTTGGATTTGTTTGAATTAGGTGAATCATTTGACATTTCCTAATTACATTAAAAATATATATCAATTATTCAATTTCGGAATTTCCACAATTCACATCATTGCATAAATGCATACTATAAAACCTAACATTAAAATTGCAATTAAAATTAAAATTCAACAAATATTGCAATTAAAATTAAAATAATTCAACAAAAATCTGGAAATTAGGGTTAACAATTGGTGAATTGGGGATTTCAAATTAACAAATTGGGAATTTCGAAATTCGAATTAGGGTTAGCAACTTAGCAAGACATACCATAAGTTTAGCAGCGACTCAGTGAGTGGTGAGGAACCCAGGGGCCAAGGCGGTGGTCGGTGGAGCAGCGAGCCAGTGACGCCTGACGCACTCACGCACGCGCCTGCAGCGAAGACTGAAGATGGAGCACAGCCGCACAGGAGCAGCGACGCACCACGCACGCACGAAGCCTCGACGGTCGCCGGTTGGTGGAATGGTGGAGCAGCGACGCAGTGGACTAGTGGAGTAGTGGTAATGGCGAATTGGAGTGAAGATTGAAATGGAGTAGCGCTGTGCGATTTGTTTTGCTTTTTTTTTTTTTTTTTTTAATTTTTTTTTTTAAATTGGGGGGACAGCTGTCCCCCCATGTCACTTAATTGGGTCCGCCCCTGTATTCGCCGCCCGACCTCCAACTGCAACTTCGGTGTTGCAATTCGACTGATACTGCAATTCAACTCCACAACATTTGATGCTTGCTCAATCAATTAGCGCTACTAGGATCTGGAGACTCCAGGATCTGCAATTGGAATGGGGGGAAGAAGGAATGGGGGGAAAGCTGAAGTTGAAAGAGGGGAATAACCAACGGGGTCAACAAAATCAGGAACGGGATGTCAGACAGTTAAGAATTGACGTTGCTACAGAATCGTTAAGGGGCAAATTCATGTTGACGAGTGTACCTTACTTTTGTTGGGAAAATACACTATTGACCCCATATAAACGAACTCTGTTAACATGACATATTAACAAGAGATTTTCTCCATAGTGATATTGTCTAATCGAGCCTTAAATTATGAGCGGTAGCTGTTTGTCGAAAAATCTCCTAAGCCAGTCATTACACATATGACATATCAGTACATATTACTTGTACAACATAACAACGTACCAAAAAAAAAAGTCATTTTTAAGAAGTTAACTTAGGCCAAGAATCAAGATCTTATACCAAAGGTCAATATTACAAGGCAAAATGATAAGCAGAGAACGACTAATTAATCACATTAACTCAATTTCAATATACACTGCTAATAAAAAAATACAATTACATACCAAAACATGTCACATATTTCCACACAAGCCTGCTGGAGGATCAAAGGAGAATAAATTGAAGAATCGTGCAATTGCAAAAGCAGAGAAAAAGCCTCTTTAGAACACACAAGACACAGAAGTAAATCAGAAGAAGTTGCTGAATTGATCAGAGAGAGACTTCCGTAAATTGGAATACAAGCCAAATAGTGAATATTGCCGTAGGTTCTGCACTTCATACCAAGAATTAAGAACTGAATAATGCTTATCTGTACCAGAAAAGGCTAATTGTATGCCAAGGCTGCAATCCATAGATCCACCTCGATTCTTGCAGTCGCTCATTCTGATTGCACAATCCACATTGTTCAGGCAGACAAACTTAGACTTGCCTTTACATGATGCACAACCATCCCTTTTCCAAAACAAATTTTGTAGTCGGCCTTGCTTAAATTCTAGAATCTGCTTCCACAAGAGCAATATATAAGCTTTTAAAGAGGAATAAGAACAGAAAAAGAAAACCATGTGATTTATTCAAAAAAAAAAAAAAAAAAAGAAAACCATGTGATCTCTGATATCCTTACCAGAGTAAAACTTGTCACTATGTGGGTGCTATTTGCAACAAATGTAGGAATGGATCTTGCAGCATATTTTGAGCCAGCAAACGCCACCATATAACCACCGGCTGAATCCTGAAAAATCAACATCCCACCAAATTTTAGGATAGTCCTATTTAGAAACAGGTATCTCATTCGGCAAAAGGAAAAAATAAGATCATATAGATGTAGGACCATTTTGCTTAACATCTGTCACTACAAAGTCAAGCAGCTCCAACAGATGATATCATCAACGAACACTTGAATGAATATTAATTAATAGATATACAGCAACAAAAGTTGAGTACTAACATGCCAGTAGAGGATATATGGCACAATCATCTTAAGTTAGAGAAGAAGATTAACATGTCAGGATCAACTAGCATAATCAGATGTCAAGCAAGTTTATGAGATGAAGCAGGATGAAACTAATATATTAATAAAGTGGTCACCACATTTACGCTTGAATTAAGACCTGTAGAAGTGTAGATATCTAGTCTGAATCTAATTGATCACATACAAATACACAATGCCCTTGCATTGGGATTTGGGAACCTTGATGTATATACTATACTGTGAAAGAAAAAGGTACCTGAACCTGGGAAGTATATAAATTATAAAGTGAAGATTAGGGAAGAGTTTCTGCCTGATTTGATTCAATCAGAGGCCAGAGCTACCAAATTTTCATTTCTCCAAAAGGACTTAACAGGTATAAGGTGTACATATACAGTGCTAGGAGAAAGATGTCCATGAAACCCCAAAAGAGAGGTAAATGGATCACGAGAGATTAGTTTAGCCGTTTAGGGGAAAGAAGTAAGAGTTATAATAATTATATATGCAAGCATTGAAGCCTCTATAGAAGGATTAAGATAAATAAATAAAAAATTGTTTCGTAGACGTGGGAGAAACCCACCTAATGCAACAGAGGGCTTGGGACTTTTTTCTGCTTCAGAGAAAATTTCAAGGCATTAGTTCCTTTCAAAGACTTGTGGAGGCCAATGTGCCACAAAGGAAAATGCATTTCATATGCACTAAGCTCACTCCTCTTTATCCCCTCTCTCCTTTGATCTTAATAAAATAATGAAGGGCAGGGCATTTAGTCCTTGTCAAAACACTAGCATATGTAGGTTGACAAGTCAAAGTCGGTAAACAATCATTCTTACATGTGCTAGCTCTCCTTTTCTAAATTCTAGTCTTGGACGCCTTGGTGTACATATATATATATATATATATATATATATATATATATATATATATATATATATATATATAGGCCAATTGTAAACTAGTAAACTACAGGAAGTGCAAATATTACACAATAACTGAAAGAGCAAAACAGCACCAGCAACCTTAGTTGCAGAAGGCCATATAAAGCAACTTTTCAGCAGCCTGCCTATTCAGAAGTATGCATCCCTCTCAAACACAAACTTAAAATAGCTAAAATAGCATTTCTTGAGGCAGTTTATTCTCCTTCATACCCCAAAGACTTAAGTACCAAATACTTGGTCAAACTCGTGCCCTTAAATATTAGGCGGCTATCATGTAGCTACATTTCCACTCTCCACGTAATCAGTCATCAGAAAAACTCATTCATGAGACGTTTGGTTCACAAGCTACTTTAGGTTTTGAATAAGGATTTAGGGCAGTATGGGTTGTGTCTAATTTTGTTTGATGATGAACTTTTCTCTTTAAACCCCATAACTTGGAGGATGAATAGTGGGATAAATTATAATTAGTAATTTTTCTAAAACAAACACAAGGTATGGGTTAAAGAAACCAACACCTCATACCTAAATTGCAGAAAGCAAGCACCCTGAAGCTAAGGCCTAAATTCCAACAAGAGAGAACTGTAAAAATCATCTTTTGTATATCACAACTAGATCACGGACCAAATTCTTGTCCACCAAAACATCCATCCAGGCATGTGAGTGATGAGACATACATAAGGCTTGGTGTTAAAAAAAAAAAAAAATAAATAAATAAAAAAAAAATACACTAGGAAAAAAGCTAAGAAAACAACATACTTTATAAGTGCATGCCTAAGGAAATTGGGGAGCGGGAGAGAGCACGATAATTTTACATGTGGGGGTGTTCTGAAATTCCAAGCTCAATAAGCTGAACAGTCTATATTGACTTTCCCTAAATCAAAATTCATGGGGATTAGAGCTTCAATTCACTATGTTGTGGATCTATGGAATTTCTGAAACAGAAAATGTACTAATGCAACAATGTAGCTTAGATTTTGGACGATGAATCTTGAAATACTTGCTCCTCTTATATGGTTTTTAAATGTAACACAAGGGGGTGACACAGATTTATGCAATTTCAATGACTTGCCTTTGCTTTAATGAGAATAATATGACTAAAGAAAGGAATTAAAAATATATCTTTCATCAGCCACCAAAACTCCCAACGCAACTAATCCACCTCCACGGCTCTGCCGTACATTGTCCAACCACCACCACCACTCAAATTGCACTACTTGGTGGGTGCCTGAAAACAGTATTCAGAAACTCTTTTGGCACCTGATTTTTTGGCTTCTAGTGATGCTTGATTTTCTGGTACCATTGAAGGTGGGTGCTTTATTGAATTTTATAATTTGTTCTCTTTTAAAACTCTCTTATTTTTCTTAAATGTTCTCTCTTTTTATACTTTACTCAACCTTTTTTTCAAACTCATTTAACAGATTATCTTGTTATGTCCCTTTTTATATCATACGGTTCCTTATGACAATTCATGTTAGCCGACCCCAAATCATTTTAAAACTAAGGCTTTTTTTTTTTTTTTTTTTTTGGGTTATTGTTGTTGTTGTACCAAAGGTGGGTGCTGATGGTGGGCAGCGAGTGGAGGTGGTGGGTTTTGATGAAGGTGAAGGTAGGGATTGGCAGATGCTTGATAATAGAAAGGATGACATTGGTGGATGGCCATGGTTTGCAAAGAAAACCGGAAGCTTGGAGATGATAAAGATCATGGTGGGCTGGACACTGTGGACAGGAGGATCGGGGGGAACAAAAGCTGGTAGGGACACAGGGTATTACTACAGTATTTATCTGAGGAACCAGTATAGCTACAGTATTGGTAAATCCAATAATAAAGAAAACTAAGGATATTTGATACTTCTTTCACAAGAATGCTTTTGTTACGGCTTGTCAACTAGTACACTATCATACTTGTAAAGCAATTAATATACTGGGTAATACTATGAAAGCCACCACCATGCCGCCACCACCACCACCACCATCCCCCTTCCCTGGAGCGTCATCGAGGACTATTTCGGGGAGCTAAAGCGGGTAAAGCAATACTTATAATAAAATTGAAATAATGAGCATATGAGAGCTATTGCATTTCTTGATCAACTTAAAAGATAGCATAGTCAAACGAGCACCCAATAGCAAGTATTGGACGCATAATGGTCTTACCAACTGTTAGGAAAGAAGTTACTAAAAGTCAAAGGCAATACATAAACTTTAGGTACAGCTCTACTGGTGACAGAATCATACACCTCAAACAATAGAACTTTAGTTTAGAAAAATTCATATAAGGGCCAGTGTACTAAGTTTACATAAACTCATACCAGGGAATACAAGGTGCAAAGAAATTACACCAATTAAATAAATATCAAATGAATCGAACCACCAAACTGAAATTCTAAGACAAACATGAACCGAGCTGAATTATTGGGACGAAACCTACTAGAATGGAACTGAATGGACTGACCAAAAAAATATGCTCAAAATAACAATCCTAACTCTATCCACAACACCAAGGTCATGTCTTTCAATGCCAATAAATTCAAGAGACAACTCAGCATCCTTTTGATTTACAAAGAGCTTCTCAATCTATCACCAGTCACCACTACATAAGGTTCATATATAAAACATACAAAGCACCTAGTTTGACCTATAATAAGACAATAGGTACAATCTAGTTGAGCAAAAGAACACCCCATATCTTTCAATAACATATGGCCCATGAACATCTAGCAATTGAAAGGATCCCAAAACATCAACTGCTGTCACAAAATATAGAAAAATTCTCTCACAGCTTACAATAGCTCTCACTCACTTCAAATTTAATAATCAAAATCCTATTGCCTTGTATTTGGAGGAGAAAGAGAACTTTGGAGCACCAGAAACTTTGTGAACTGTTTTCAGTGATACATGGCTCAAGAAACACTCAGTACCATAGTAAAATGAGCAAGCTTAGATTCTGATGCTTTGGCAATATTGCTGATGGGGGCATCAAGATTGCTAAAGGATCCTTAATATACAGTGTTCCCAAGTTGCAAAGATGACTACAGAATGAAACAACAGTGATTTAAAGGCATAATACCCGATAATCTTTCTTCCAGCTGAAATGTTTTTGATGAACCCGACCAATCATAGAGTACAGATCCCAAGGTTTACTCATTTTTTACATCATAAATACCTACAAAACGCCTTCCAACAGCATTTCGGCACTAAATTATTAAATCACATTCATCGCTTGTTATCGCTACATCAATTCAAGCCAAGATTAACTAAAAACCGCAGTCGACAACCCGTTCCTTAGATTATAATACATTAATCCAATGACACCACATATCATATAGACAACCTTATGCCTGTAACTAAAGATATACAATCTGCTCTACAATGAGGTTAAGCACTCAAATGTATGTCTACCAAAACAAAACCCGAAAAATAGAAAATTTTCATAGTTCAAACAAATTGAAATACACTAGCAACACTCAAATCAATACGATCCGATCTCACAATAAAATCAAACAACACTTCCGAATTCAACCAACCAAAATCAAAACCCCAAATAAAAACAAGCCCTAATTCAACAGCTATAAGCGATAATTAAAACCCTAATTTCAAAAATCAGGGAAAAAGAAAGAAGGAAGAGTAACATACCGGGCTGAAAGAAGAAGCATTGATGGTGAGAAGAGAGATCTCATCAACCTTAGGTCGGAAAAGCGCGATTTGAGAGCTACTGGAGGAGAGAGAAAGTCGTCGATCGCAAGGAGAAAGCTGAAGCGAGGCATTATTGTTGAAGAAGAAAGAAGTTTTGGAAGAGAAAGCAAGGCCGAAGGTGAAGCCATCGTCGCGCTGAACTGTAGTGTCACGGCAAGGGGAGTAGACATGGTTGTTGTCGCCTGCTTGAACTAAGATCGTTGTAATGGCGAGGATGAAGATGGTGAAGGTGAAGGTCCACCTTGAAGGTCCTCCCATGGCGGAAGAATGTTCTGGAAACTGGAGTTTGTGGGGTTTGTTTTTCCGGTGAGAGGGTGGTGGAAGAAGTGGAAATAACGTGGGTGATGTAATGTACTTGTTGTGTGTTATGTGATGAAAATTGGTGGAGTATCCAACTTTGGACAGTTGGATTTACAAGTTTGAATTAGGATTTTTGAATTATCATTTGTTTATACTTTCTCTGTGTTTTTTTTAAATGTTACACTTATCAAATTTGGCCGTTTTTAATAAGTATTACTATTACACTTTCTTTTTTTAAACAAAAACCTACATTAAAATATTATAACTCTCTCCTCTTATGATCCCCACTCAATCCCACTATTACATCAAATTCGGCCGTCTTTTAATAAGTACTACCCCCGTTCATTATTATGTGCAACTTTTGGGCATTATTTTGAGGTAGGTGGTATTACACTTTCTTTTTTTAGCAAAAACCTACATTAAAATATTATATATTTTTCCTCTCATGATCCTCACTCAAACCCACTACTACATTTTTTTATTATATCTCTCCACTCACATTCATTACTTTTCAATAAACTATTAACCCCACTATTTTTCTTTTACAATTTTTTGATACTTTAACTACTCCACTGACCTCTTATTTTATTTAAGTCAATTAAATTGTCTAAAACTATGTACCGGTCAAACTGTAACACTTAAAAAAAACACAAAGGGAGTATTTAATAAACTGAGTTGAACTAAATTGATTGGAGCTGAATTGAACTGAATATAGCTGAAATGAATATTTTATGAGAGAAGAAAATTAGGAGTTGAACTAAACTAAACGAACTGAACTGAACTGAAATTAAGTTGAAGTGAACAGACCCTTAATCAAAATCTCAATTCTTAGTAAAAAATTGTAGATAATAATACGTAGTACAATCTTTGGCCCATTATTTTTTTTAATAATACAACTTCTGAATTATATATTAACTAGGGAAGCCTACGCGCGTGATGCGCACGATACACCTAGCCATCGCAGGGGAGTTATAAATTCGAACCTCAAAGTTTACGTACTTTGAGTTGTTGTTGAATTATACTTGTCTTAGGTCGATCAATAAGAGATTACTTCCTCCGTTCTTTATTACTTGACCCGCTTTGACTTTTACACTATTCACCACCCCTCCTTTGACCGTCTTTTGTGAATAATATGTAAGGAAAAATATATTCATGTATGATCTTTTTGGATTCGTCTCAATAAGTACTATCATAATATATAACTTTTATAATTTTTACTTTTGGAGAATTTAAGTTATTGATCGTTAAAGTTTTGCATTGGCAAGCGTGATAAAAGAAACAGGTCAAGTAAAAAAACAGAGGAAGTATATCTTAATTTATTTAATTGTAGAAATATGTTTTGTGTTATGATTATTTATTTTGAAAATGATCATATATATTATAACTCGTCAATATACATATTACTATATAAAAAGGCAATCAAAGCTATTGCATCATTCTATAACTACAATAGGAGTGTTATGGAGAGGACAAAACCCTCATTGAACATCCTGGCACAAGGGATATGTGAATTAGTACATTTCCCTGCAATTAGATAGTGTTTGGACCATATAATGGAGGAGATAGCATTTATGAGCTACGAGTATTTAAATGATGATATATGAGTACATCTTAACTCTTTCCTATAATCATAAACTATAAGCTTTTCCTAGGATAAAATCGAGACAATGACACGGTAACTAAAGAAAAATACATCTTCAAATATATAGGCTCTTAATCAAAAGCGTAAGACTATAGTACCTCAAATGTGAGACATAACTGCTACATTCCGTAGAAGACTCATCAAAAGAGTTGCTTTGTTTGACTCCCCTATAAACACAACTAAAAGAGATTACAACAAAAGTATTACTCTTTTTTTTTTAATCATTTTAATGGTATCCAAGCAATTACACTCCACCACTACGAAGGTACCATTATTGCATTCATCCATCAACTCCACCAATCTTGAGATGTCCCCAACTCTAACCGAATATGGGCGTCTTCGAATAGCATGCTTATTCACCTCTTCGTATAACATAACCAAATAGATGGCACAAACTTTACATTTCCTTTAGTATAAAATAAACAACCAGCAAGGTCATCATCCTTATAGATTATCGCGGTGGCGGGTGGTGACCGGGGGTACCAGAATGGAAACTGACATGTTAGCAGTATATTCCAGCAACCATAAAAGGAGTTCGTGAGAAAAGAGGAAATTGAGAAATGAGGAGTTTTGGCCTTTTCAGTGGAATGATAAGGAGGAAGATAAACAAAAGAAATAGAGCATAAAAATACGAAAGGTTAAATACTTAAATGCATCAAAATTAATTTTAATTGGGGGTAAATATGTCAGTTAAATTTTTTAAGGGCATAATAGTCTTCACACTATTCATAAGAGTATTCTTCCACTTTTATAAGGTAGGGATATTACAACTTTGAAAGGGTGTTTTGGAGGGTTATCATAACACGTGTCGTTGTTTTATTGGTCAATTTAATTTGATTTTTAAAAATTTAATTAACATTTTTATTAATAAATGTAAAAATATATAAATTATTGTTATTATTATTATTATTACTAAAAATGATCACCCAACCACCTCCCATACCAGTGGCAATCAACATGCCCCTACACTTGACCTGATATCTTCATGGATCCTGCCAAAACCCGGCGCAGCCACGGCCAACAGCGCAGCCATGCAAAGAGCCCAACCACATCAACCATCTTGGGCAGCAATTGAACCGCAACCTTTGCACGTTTTAACCACCGCCCATCCCTAATAAAAGCCTGCCCAACTCCAGCCCAAATCCTAACCCCTCCTCCCTCGTTCCCCAACCCGACACTCATCCTCGCCCTAAGCCAACCTAAAAACTGGCCCATTTCTTGTTTTTCGGCCCCATAAAACCTATCCCCCCCCCCAAAAAAAAAACCACCAAAGATTCGTATAACCTAAAAAACCCGAAACTGTAGAAACGATTTTTCTAGGTTAAACGGATTATGGTGGTGGAGGATTCGGTTTTTGTGGTGGGGATGGGTGTAATTTTTGGGTTCGGCCGGCGCTGGTAGAGACAAATCGTTGGCAGCCAGCTGCCGAGGTGAGGCAGGAAGGCTGTTGATAGTTGTTTTTTTATTTTATTTTATTTGTTAAAAAAGGATTATAAATTAAAAACATAATTAGAATTTAATTAAAGTTAAATGACTATAAAAAAAATCAAAAATAATTAGACCAATTACATGACAACACGTGTCATGGGTAACCTGTTTAATAGGTTACAACTCGTATCTCTTGCCCAAGCGTGCATCGAACTGCAGGGCTATCCCCTTTGCCACTTCAGGAGGCCAATAGCTCCTCAACCTTCTGACTCCTGCAAACAAAACCTCACCCCTATTTTCTCGTGCCACAACCCCAAAGCCTATCCAACCCTCCACCCTCATACAAGCCTCACAATCAATCTTTATTTTCTCACCTAGTGGGGGTAGCCACTTCTTCGAACTACGGGCAGCAATAGAGGCTGTGAGCCTGTGACATTTCCGTAGACTTTCTCTGTATATGCATTTTGATCAGTCACAAGTCGAGAAGCTCTGTTAATTATGAGGCCATGAGGAATATCCACATTGTTAAAAACTTTATCACTGTGCCTATTCCATATATACCACAAAAGAGTTGCACCTCTTTGATGCAAAAGACCATCCGCTTTTTTCCACGAAGCTAGTAGCTCTAGAGAAGACATGGACTCAGCATTATCAACTAGCATCTCACATCCCATCTCAACCCTTAAGTTAGATACAGTTGTGCAAGAGAAGAGGGCATGATGCAAAGCTTCCTGGTTGCACCAAGGACAAGAATCCTCATCTAACTTCCAAAGACCCACCCAAGTCTGATGAAAATCATCAAGGGTACAAAATTTTCCCTAAAGATAAGTGGATTAAACATAGTAGATGTCGTTACGTTCCCTGCAGGTTCACACAAGCTCCAGGGAATGTAACGCATTTCATGTCCCGTTCACTAAATGCCGAGGAAATCAGCTCGAAATTCCATTGCTTTGTTATCAGGTCAATCAAATCCTTCACCACTTTCATATCGTCAAACCTCTCACTCAAAATGAATCGGCCCATATCATCAGGATCAGCCCACACATTAATGTGAGCACCATCTCCAAGTCGCCAAAGCAAGCCCTCCTTAGCTTCACCAAAGCCTTCGAGCTCCAAATGCTATTCTAGGATTAGCCCCTTGCACTAACCAAATAAGATTCGAGGAAATAAGATTTAGACAATACTTACTTTTAAAAACTCGGGCAAACAAAGAGTTAGAAGCTTGTAGGAGACGCCATGCTTACTTTCCCAAGAGTTTTATGATAAAAAATGTCATGTCTTTGAACCCCAAGCCATTTAAGCATTTCGGAGCACACATTGAATCCTAACTCTTCTAGTGAACTCGACCCACACTTCTAAAATTACCTTACCAAAACCTTGCAGTCAAGGACCGAACTTCATCCAAAATACCACAAGGAATCCTGCAAACACCCATAAGGTAAGTGGGAATTACTTGAATAACCGTTTTAATGAGGATTTCTTTCCCGGCTTGAGAAAACAGCTTCTCCTTCCAACCTTGAAGTTATTTTCTAAATACGGTCTTTCTGCAAATATAGATTTTTTTTAATCATCCAATAATTGTCAAAACGCCAAAAATATTTCTTATGGGCATCAACTTTCTTCATATTCAACAAATCTATCAACTCTAATTGCTTCGACTCACTAACTTCTTTGCTAAAGGAGTCCTCTAACTTATCATAGTTAATTTTCTTCCCGGAAGCTACTTCATATAAGTTGAGAATTTCAACTTTCTTTGAGCATTCCAATCGGTTAGCTCTAGCAAAGAGAAGAGTTTCATCAACAAAAAACAAGTGATAAATAATTAGACCACCCCGGCTCGCTCAAGCTCCATGGATCAAATTAAAAGTTACCTTAAAATAAATTAAAGTTACTCTTGTTTCAAAAAAAGAAAAAAAAAGTTACCCTAATATATAAAAGTTACAAATGTTTAAAGTTACACGTGACTTAGAATCAAATCAATGTGATTGCGAATTAAATAATAAGTAAATATATTAACCTTATAAAACTTATCCCGCTACTTATTTATATTAAAATCACATAAACTTTAA